TCCATGGGTGTTGATTATGGATCCAAGTAAAATGAAATCCTTTACAACCTCAGTCTTTTCTCTGTTTATCACGATGTTGCTTGTTGGCCCTTTACTCCATAGAAACGTGTGCTCGGACTTTTCCATCGAACCAGTGATAACATCTGTCTGGTTCCCATCTGTTGTGTGAGAAAAACAAAATCCTTACCACATGTTCATTTTCCTGTCTGCATGAGATTCATGGGTTTTCTCTTTTGTAAAAAATTGCCATTGAACAAATGTGTCATTTTGATAAAACAACTCCCAAAGTCCTGAAGGGTATGGGCAGAAAATGTACTCACTGTTGCCAGCAGAGGGCGCTCTGCAGGGCCGCACGGGGTGGTCGGAAGAGGTGCTGTCCCGCCCACACGCAGTGGACTTGGCCCAGCAGCCGTTCTGCCCACGTAAGGGTCTGGGCACACTCACCCGACTCTCCTGGCCACACCCCTTCCGGCAGGTGGATGACCTTGTAGGGCGCCTCTGTGACCCTCCCCCTGTAAACATGCCTTTTGGAGAGTGGCCGCCCCGCAATGGCCGGGGCTTCCTGTGGCCCCAGGTCCTCGTGGGCCAGCCAGGTGAGACATCCGCCCAGCGCTGGTTCTCAGTGGGTGGTGCAGCGGGCATCAATTCCCTGCTGCTGGTCCTGGGTTGCTGTGTGTCTCTCCATAGTGACCTAATGGCGCTTAGAGGAGTCCCCGGCGGTGCAAAGGGTGAACGCGCTGGGCTGCTCACCCGAAGGGTGGAGGCTCGAGTCCACCCAGAGGTGCCTCAGAAGAAAGGCCTGGCAGTCTGCTTCCGAAAAATCAGCCATTGCCAACCCTATGGAGTGCAGCTGTATTCTGACACACACGGGGTCGCCATACTCCACGCGACAGCAACTGGCTTTTTAAAACGTGGTATATGAAAAGCCTTGAAAAACACTAAAATTATCTCCCATCAAGTAACTAGCTATTAATTTGTCTCACCTTAAAATTTAATTATTTTAACTCTAATTATAGAATATTTAGAATGTTGAGGAAAGTACAGGAAATAATATGACAGCTACCCATATTCGCATCACCTGGATTTAAAAGAGGTTAACGTTTTGTCTTATGTATTTCAAATAAAAAATGTAAAGGAAATAAAATGTAACAAATATATCCAGGAAGCTCCATCCTTTCCCCCACCCTCCCGTCCTGTAACCACCGTCTTGGTGGTGGTGTTTTATTCCCCCGTATCACACTTTTACTACATCCGTTTGTTGTTAGGTGCCAGCGAGTAGGTTCCGACTCACAGCGACCCCATGTACAACAGAACAAAACGCTGCCCGGTCCTGCGCCGTGCTCACAATCGTAGTTATGCTTGAGCCCATGGTTGCAGCCACTGTGCCAATCCCTCTCTTTGAGGGTCTTCCTGTTTTTTGCTGACCCTCTACTTTACCAAGCATGATGTCCTTCTCCAGGGACTGATCCCTCCTGGTAACATGTCCAAAGTATGTGAGATGTAATCTCGCCATCCTTGCTTCTAAGGAGCATTCTGGCTGTACTTCTTCCAAGACAGATTTGTTCATTCTTTTGGCAGTCCATG